TCCTCCTCCTCCTCCTCCTCCTCTCTCCTGGATTGCTCTGCGGCTGTACGCTGCATTTTTTTGCTTCCCGCGGACCCGATCGACCCCATAACCTTCCCGTTTCCGGACGAGTGTCTCCATCCTCCTGGCTTGAATTTCGCCGAGGAGGTCGGCGCCGGTACGTCTTCTCGCCCACTTCCATTTTCGGCAGCATCGCTCGACTTCGCGGCCATGAGCTCGGCCGTAATGGCCGCAATCGCCGCCTGCTTCTGCTTTCGCGCGTCTTCCTTGTCCATCGTTTCCCCCGCACCAGACCCCGCCTTGTGGATACTTTTACCCACGCTTCGGCCAGTCGCGAAACGGCCGCTGGTCCCGGATATCACGGCGCCAGGTACCCCGCGCATGATGTGGGCCTCCCTAACCGCCTTCTTGCCAAGCGGTTTATCTCTAGCGGCGCCGAACGAGGATGGCACGTTGGCCTGGAGCATTGCCTCTCGCTCGGAATCCATACCCGAGACCGGCGGATTTGCGGTTGATTTCCGCCCAACCACGGGCTTCGACTGGGCCCAGTTTTCGGCAGGTCGGCCTCTCCCTGCCTCCGGTTGCTTCTTCACCACGTGGCCACCTGGAGGAGGCGGCATAGAAGACGGAGCCTTCGAGTCGTTTGGTGAATTTCTTGGGTCTACCCGCGGCTTGGTCGTTCCTCCGTTGGCTTTACCAGACTTGCCACTTGCCGCGGTCGGTTTCTCGTGGGATGTACCGTTGGATGACGCTGATTTGGTGGTGACACTTTTTGGCGCCGAAAGACGAAACACGTAAGACCTTGTCGAAATCGCGAAGAGAGAGAGGGAGGGAGGGAGGAGGGGCGGGGCGGATTAGGAGGCGCAGGGATGACGGTAGAATCGAAATTTGCCGTGCTCTACAGCAGCAGTAACCTCAGCATGCCACCGTCCATATTCAACGAGGTTGATAGCACAACTCTTGTGAAGTGGCTCTGTCGACTGCGGTCGACGAAGCATAACTTTGTTTACAGTCGACCCCGCTCTAAGGACGCCAGCGTTAAGGAAGCTCCCCGCTTCAAGGAAACTTGTTTTGCTGAGCATCGGGGCCCCGGCAGAATATACGATAATGGGGTACCCCCATTTTTCTGCCGCGTACCCCCCTTTTTTTGTGTCCTGCGGGCCTGCGGGCCGCTCTTTGCACGAACCACGCACTACAGTGAGTGCAGAAGTAGCGACGCACAGACAGCAGAAGTAGCGAGCGGTCTGCTGCTGCAGCTGCAACTAGGTGTTGGTATGGATAGATTCCTCCCATCTACCGGCGGTCCATCTGATGCCGCCAAAAAAAGAGTCGTGCATAACCTCGTCCCTCATCGAGGGCGAGTTATCTCTCGCTTGGAGGACGTTCGATCCTACAGATAGCGCCCCCAGTTAAGAAACATCAAAATCGGTTCGAGCCTCACCAATCCCTTCTTTTGGGTCGAAGTACCGGCCCAAGTCGTCCATTTCGTAAATGGCATTTCTTCCTTTGGACTGTCGCATCCTCTCGATTCTCTTATTCCTTAGACTACAAGAAGTACTTCGTATTTTCTTTTTTCTGTCTTTTGATCTCTGAGGACAATCCACATCATCAAGCCCTCAAGAGAGGTGGTGGAGGGTGCCATCAAACCCGTACAACAGCGGAGAGCATATGGTTGTCCGTGATGTGTGGCAGTACTACAGCAGTACAGCACTCACTGTGAACAGCAGGTGCGCGGGGGGGCGGGGGGGCGGGGGGGGGATTCTGCCCCATACAAAAAAATGCACTTGTAAACAGCTTGGGAGGGGGTTCGGAGCACCGCAGATTTCTAATGTCATGGGGGTATCGCACCATCACGTTTCTTATTGGGGCGTTTCTTACGTTGTGGCCGAGATTGAGCTATGTTTCTCAGCCCTTTTTGCTTATTTTTCATAGAAAGTTGAGCCTGTTTTCGTACAGAATTTTTCTCAACTGCGGGCGCTATCTGTATTTGCACCCGAAGGGAAGGGGTGGCGAATACCGTGAGACGCAGTACCTTCTTTCGAAGACCGTTCATTCGTTTACTCATGAAACTCAACAGAGCCGTAGAGCCAAGCCGCGGGGGGAGGTTCAGGGAACTTCGCGATATGTGAAAGGACAAGCCATCAGTGCAGCTTTTGGCCTCCGCCGGGACAGTGATATGTACTGACTGGTGTTCCTCGGTGCGATGCTGAAATACGCTCGTTTTTTTTTGTTTCACAAGAATGAAATTAATATACAATTGCATGTCTACTTGGACTTTCCTAATTGTTCCGCTGCCGGCTATGCAGTACATCAGCTGGCCAAGTACAAACTGGGCTACTATAGTTGTTTTCAACACGTCCCCGACTGCTGTACATCTCATTCCAAGTTGTATTGTGAATATGTTCGACGTCAACAAACGGTTACCAGTCGTCTCGGCGATGCTGACTTTTCGTACCACCCCCTTAGCAAAAGACGCGTAGTTTAAGGTAGCATGCCTCCATTGGCCCCGGGGATGGTGAGCTATCGTCCCCTCAATTTTAAGGACAAACCCCGCTTTAAGGACGCTTTTTCCAGGAAAAACAATGTGCGAAGCGGGGTCGACTGTGCAATGCCCGAAAACGATATTCGGCACCCCAACTATTTGAACATGCCAATTCCAATCACTTCGCGTGTTCCAGCGGCGAGCTCTGTACCATGAAACCCTTGACTTGCAACGGCCGAGTACCTCACAAGTTGCTGCAGCAGTTGGTCATGACGTCATGACGGCCGCGAGAACACGGAGGCCCTGCTGTACCAGTACGCGGGCCCTGCTGTACCAGCACCTCCTGCTCATAGCAGTACAAGATATTTAACTACACGCAGTCCCTTACCTGGAGCTCTCGCCAAATTTGATGACATCTCCATCACCCAGCCTTGTTGCGGTCTTCGATGCAATCTTGCAACCGTTCACGTAGGTGCCGTGGGTGGAGCCTAGATCGGCCGCGAAGACATCCCCATCCCCATTGTGAACCAACGCCGCGTGTCGCCTAGAGATGCTCTCGTGATCCAACCTCTCGTGACACATCTTCGAATTCCGCCCTAGCACCGTCACGTCGCGACCACCGGCGAGTACTTCGCCTAGGGCCGCGCCATCTTTGAATATTTGCAAGTGAGCGTGACCAGACGCGGCTGTGGGAGGCCCTCTCTGGACTGTCAGGAACAGCTGTGAAGTATCTATCTCCTCGCCCATCGTCGCTGTCGCGCTCCTGTGTACTAATGCAAAATAATGGAGACCTGCCAAAGATGGTCTCTTCAATTTTACACGCTCGTACGGATAGAACACGCTCGTGAACCGCACGTAGCAGGGGTGCTACGGGTTGCAATGTCCTGCCGTGGGTTTGCGTGTGTCCAAGTTAGTGTTGCTGTTGGGGGGCACCGCGGATAGTCCAAAACCTCCATTCTTCACGTATGCTGGGCACAGCATCGCGTTGACTCACCAAGGATCTTTGACAGCTCGGTAAGTTCAAGGATCCGCCGCCGGTCGCCGATCTCACCGGCGTTGTTCGGCTTGTGTCTGTTTGTGTGCAACTAAGCAATCCGTGACCATTTAAGTAATGTGTGCAGTGTGCAGACCTCGAAGCTATGCGTCAACCTCTCACGGAAGTTTCACGGGACCCTGCGCGGTTACGGCTGGGTTTTTATGGCCGGAGTAAGGTTGTGCGAGACGAGGGCTCAGGCGACAGCAGCACGATCACAATGCGGGTACACGGCATGCAACAATAGCCGTATGCTGGGTGTAGAGGGACCCGGGAAGGTTAAGTTCTGTGCTGGACGCGCAACACGCGGGATATGGCTGACTTCAAGCACCAAGGTGCGGTCACCGAGGTTGCACCAAATCTCTTCTGAGGGCATCAAGCAGGGCGGACACGTACGTGTAATGAGCGGGATGGTTGACGTTGTGCATATATGGTGCAAGGAATCCAGCTGGTACACCATGCAGAATTGGAACGGTGCCCCTCGGGGGTTTGGTAGCGGGCGCCAAGCACGACCTCCGCACCCAAGTAGCGCAACATCTGACACCCGATGGCGCCCGCGCCTGGCCCTGGGGATTTGGCTTCATGCTACCACCCTCGCCTCTACTGACAGGAATGTTGCTAGGGGCAGCCTAAATCAGCGGGGTACAGATGATGTGTCGATCCCCGACCCGGCACCCAGAGGCACGGGTGGGGCTGCAGGCGAGGAAGGACTCTATACCGAGGGCATACTGTGCCGCGATTGGTAGTCCCCCCACCCGCTGGAAGGACATCGAGCAGCAGCGGTGCCAGAGCACAATGCAACCACCTCCGGCTGGCGGCGATGGCGATGGGTTAGGCCCAATGAAACAGAGCGTACGAGAAAAGTCACGGCGGGTTCGGCGGTGTAGGGTGTGAACCAACGAGTGGCACGGCCCATCCCGCCCTGGGTGCCTTGGTCAAAGCGGGTCGGGGAGCGCCGCTCTACATGTACACTGTGAGGTGGACTCGAGAGTGGAGCATGACATCTATCCGTGTTTCGATCTACAAGTGAAAAGGAAAATTGGTCACGATCTGCTAACGCCGTCAGACCTCAACTTCGTTCCACGTGAGCCCCCCTCCCCCCCCTCCCGCCCAGGTTAATCTAGAGCATTTGGCCTTATCCGCATCACTCTCGCCTCTATTGACAGCAGGAAACGCAAAGAAAACCCAACTAAACCTTACCCCACTCTACTTCTGCATGCCTTGTTTGACTACCGTCTATTTCTATTACACCCCCTTGGACCGATGGCCTCACCTCCGAGACTGCCCCATCACCGAATGATCAATACTCCAAAACCTCTCGGTGAGATCTACAACATACGGCGCCGGCAGCTCTTTTCCTGTGCTTTGAAATTTGCGTGGGGCTCAAATGCACGGTCGAACATGGGAGCTGTGTGTCCTGCAATTACAGCCTTCGATGCCCTCGTCATTTAGCTAACCAAAATCTCCTCGTATCACAAAAATCTGCATCATTTGCCCCTCCTTCCAGCTTACCTACCCCCAGCAACCACCAAGTCGTCGTCTTCACATGTTACCCACAGCAGGGGGGGTGTCACTGCTGCTCTCGATTCCAACGATATACCGAAGCACTGATGTTCACCTGTACAAAGCGCTCTTCGTCTACGCCCCTGCAGCTTCGCTACTACGATAACCTCTCTTGGTGACCGTCTTGATCTGAAGCACTCAACTCCTCCGCGTGTACTTTGAACCCGAACACCCTGGGCACGTAGTGAGACGTGTTTGGCGTAGTCTTCAGCTCTGGCCAGCCCAGCAACAGGAGGTGGGGCAGAGTTGTTCCCCAGAATGCTCCGTCGCATGCCCGCACGTATCCCGACGGATAATAAAGGTCACCGCAGCGCGGGCAGAACACCTGACAACATCGGCAAGGGTAAAGAGCTGACCACGCGGATTTTGCAGTTTCCAGTGGTTGCCCTGCGAGACTCCACTATGGTGCATGTGCAAGTTTTCAAAACTGTTGCAGAAACTATCCCAGGCCGAAGTATCTGCAATGTACGACATGATAGGACGGATGTTGGTGTCGTTTCAACGCGGCGCCGCGCGGAGAAAGACTAGGGCGAGTGAAAACGTGCACACTTCCAACTCGGGTGGAATTTGAGACATGTGTTGGCAATTCCGCCCACGTAGTGCGCGCTCGGTAAGCGTGATATCGGTACTGGTGATCGTTCTCTCCAACAGTCAAACTGTGGCGGCCAGGTTACTTACTCGTTTGAATTTCAGTGTCCAAGGCTTTTCTACTTCCAACGAACAAACCTAGCGCGCACACTTGTTGATTGACATCTGCGTGGATCGGCACAGAACGGAGGGTTGAACCCGGCGCTCGATCTTGAATAAAAAAACGCAAAAGGTAGGCAGGCAGGAGATGCGGAACTCTGGGTCGGACTCCAAATGCGTCGCCAATGCGAAGATATAGACTCACGGAGAACGTGAACCACAACGCTCACCTTCACAGAACTCTGCTTTGGTCTGTCCGATTCTCCAACTGGAAGCACGGCCTGGCCTTGGCAATAAACCCTATAGGGTGGCGGGCAACGTCGGAAAGTCGTGCATCAGCTCGTATGCCTGAACATGACGCACAAACGTGTATATCCCATACGAAAATGATCTAGCTTTCCTTGTGTTGAACCCCGCCGGAACCCTGCGTACATGACATACCACTGTTTTGTAACCACCACTGTGCGAAATGACCTATATACGTCAGATATTATTTCAGGAGACGACGGAATCTCGCTAGTGTCATAACTACTGTTAGGGGTGCCAATCGGGGCGATTTTGGCGGCAAAAAAGTGACCAGTCTATTCGAGGATTTTGAGAAAAAAAAGGGGGGCACGCGGACTTTTTGGTTCTCAAGTCAGCTCTTGAATCATACCGATCAAAGTATACTTTATCCTCCGTACTTTGTATAAGTAGCTCTGCGTCCAGGCAGCGACGTGGCTCTTCATACGTTGCACACATCTGGACACAAGTCCAATAGAGGACACTGCAAGCTCGGTTTATGCTTACGTTTATAGGGCGGATGAACAACCCAGAAAAACCTACAAATTTCAGCTGTATGGCCAATGCCCGAGGCCGCCTCTGACTTTCTTGAGAAAGCGAGCTTGCAGTGCACCACCTTGGGAGTTAGACCACACAACACAAAAGACCGAACTGGAATCGCTCAAGTCAACAGCGAGATCTACATGTCTGAAAATGGTCTTCCAAGCGGGTCTCCTGCAGCGCCTGTCAGGGAAGCACAGCAGCAAAAAAACCGTAACCAAAAAAAAAAGAGGCGCGTTTTTGGTGGCGGCAGCAGGCGAGCCGCGAAGAACCTCAGGAAAAACCAAGCCAAGTACGAACAGGCGTCGGGGCAGTCTGTGTACGCCGCCTGCGCAGCGTCAAACACACGGCGTGCGGTCGAAAGGGGCGGTGTTGCCGCCGCACAGAAAGCGCTGACAGAAAAGGAGCATGAGTTGGTCGAAAGTAAACAGCGCGAGGCGGCAAGCACCGCTGAGTGCAGCATGGCTCAGGAGCTCGCGCGCGAGAGCACCGAGGCGCTAAAGGAGGAGAAGGCTAAGAGAGCAGAGGCAGAGCGGTCGCAGCAAGAGGCAGCGCGGAGGAAGCAAGAGGCTGAACGAGACAAGGCGAAGGCGGAGGCGGTGGGCGTAGATGATGGGTGCTTCCTCGCTGCTGCTGTTTTTTTCGCCAGCAGCAGGAGGAGCACTGCTTCCTCCAGCAGGAGGAGTCCGCGCGGTCCCACCGCCCGGCGGCTGTTCGAGTGAGCCACCAGGCATGTTTGCTAGGTTGCGGACGGCGCTAGGGTGCCGCTAGGGTGCCGTGTGCAACCTCCACGGCACGGCGGAACGCGTTCACACACGCTTCGCGCTCGCGGGGCGTCAGGTGTTTTTTGGTTCTGGCGGGGTTCTTCGGAGCGTTCGATGTGATTTTGTTGGCTCGAGCGATTTTCCATCTGGAAGATCCAGGACACTTTTCGAATTTTTTTCCTATAGGAAATTTGACCGATTGGCACCCCTAACTGTGCCCTCTCCAGAAGGCATGCTAGCGTCGCCACTTGCTCACCGTTGACTCAACACTGGGTTTCGCACTTCCTCTGGGCTCTCAACAGCCGTTTCCTCGCTGGATATGGATTCGAAACTTTCCAAATCATCGACAACGCCAACAAACTTGCCACGAAAGCCGCGGAGTTATCGCACAACAATATCTGACCCCTTGCCCGTACACTGTTTGCAAGACTAGGGACGTTCTGTGTTCGGTGCGTTCCCCTGGTTTTTCTTGTTTCGTATGATATTATTCGTGCCTTGTCAACAAGATCTTGTCATCGTGTTGCGCCGTCTGTGCGTATTTCTCAGTCTTTTGTTGTGCCGAAAAGCCGAGAACTTCATTTTCTTTCCTTTAGAGCACGGTTTACCTGGGGCATCTCCCGAAGTCTGCCTTGGAGAACTTTTCGAGCACGACTTTTAACCCCTGTGGGCTCACTAGAAATCTGCAACAGGTATGGGATCCACACGGAAACAGCGAGGGGCGAGGGCGTTCTCAAAAATCACAACACCGGCGAGGTCAGAGAATCGTCCCTTTTAAAGAAGCCTTGACACTGTCATGGGAACGTAGTGTAGCTTGATTCCCAGTATGAATGCCAGTCTAGTCTCCTCTGCAACAGGCATGTATGCACAAAAAGCGCCCCAACCATCAACTTCAAAGTTTACACATTGGGTGGGACTGCCATCACACTACTATAAGCTTCTCACCTCGCATGAAGCAATCCGTACAAGAGCGCTGCCGACGACTGCACCGTCGATGCATTGTTATCGGCGTGCACACCCACGCCTATTCTTCTGCCGATTGAGGCGGGACCACAGACGCGGAAGAGTCAGCGTTCCATAGCATGTTGGGACAGAAGCATATTTTCGTCCAGCTGTGTAGACAGCACATGGATGTGATATTCTTCGGGTGAAAGTTACAGCAGCGAGTTTCGAAACTGCAGTGCACCTGTGGTACAAAGACGGCCAACGCGGTGATCGGAAGATATTTGTGTACACGGCCTCTAGAGAGGCACGAAGCGGAAAAGGCGGTCCCTTACAGCACACAACGCTTGTTGTTGCCGAAAGAGCGCAAGGCACGCGCCACGCTAGTTGCGAGCGAGTGCCCACTGACTGTTGGGCTTGATGGTTCAAAAGGTTCCCGGGACGATAAGCGGCTGTGAACGTGTAGCAGAACAGTCCCTTCGTAGCAATGGTAGGTAGGATGACAGCAGTCGCGCAGGCGGTCGTTCAACAAGAACTTCATCAATGATTATTCCCAAAGAATGCGAACAACAGTAGTGTCACCTCTCTCCCAGAATCACTCCGAGCGCTTCTTGTCTGTACGGTATATCCACCCCCCTTCCGATATCGATTGAATTCATGCTCTCGCGTATGAAGCTCAACGGGACCTGAGGCAATCGAGTAATTATGTACGTTAGACCGGTGGCGGCATTTGAAAGTAACTGATGCAGCTAGTTGAGGGTTATCTCCACTTCGCCAAGATCCAACACCAGAACCTTTCGTTGGCACAGCACCAGCAGTGTATTCAAAGTGAACTTCGACGTTCAACAGGTTCCCTCTCACTTGGTATTTCATGTACCATACATGTAATGTAGTCCACCACTGCTGTCGAGCAGACACACAATGGAGTCCATCCAGAGTTTCACATGGAATGCCACACTGTAATAAGAGCTGTCACAACCAAACACTGCTGTAGCTACGAGGTAGGTGGCACCATTCCCACCTCGGCGAAGAACTCGTTGCCTGGGGTGCGACAAAAGTCCTGTATCCAAGCCTGGCGCCCTCCTCCTCCCCTTAGAGAAGTTAACTTCGGGTCGATCGTACAGCAGTCCGTTGCTGCACACATCAGACTGAACAAGAGCATCAACGCCTTTCGCACGATCATATTGACTGACTCTGCTTTGACAGTACCGCGTTCAAAAGGGAGGTGGTGATGCACGAGGTGGCGACGAGTGGGAGAGCGCAGAGCGTTGTGGTTGTGGACGCGAAAGAGGAAAGGAGGCGGCGCAATAACCCGTGAGAAGCGGCGCAATCAACCGCAGTCAACAGTCAACAGCCAACGAGCCAACAGGCCACACCCTTGTGCGAACCGCACACAAAGTCATGGCACCACGCGGACGCCGAGGGAACGAGACACTAGTCCGGGCACTAGTCATGGCTGCGTGCTGTCTCGTGTCAGGCACGTCCTTTGGTGTCGGCATGCGAACGGCAGTCCGAACGTCACCAGCCAGAGTCGTACGTACTCAAGCCGTCGCACCTCGCGCTTGGCTGCGCAAGGGCGGGCAGCAGCGAGGTCGCGCAGGTTTGTGATGAGCGTTGGCGCTTGACGTAGTCTCTATCGGATGGGCGAGGCATCGGTTTTATCGGTTCAGCGTCCATGGCACAGAACATGTTCCCATACTCCCAAGTTGAATACCTGCATTATCAGGGGTGCCGCACCGCTCGCGCGATTCGTGTCAAAACAGGCAAGAGGGGCTGAGCCAGCTTGCGCAGAGTTCGTTGTCCTTCAATCGCGTGTGCTGTGCATACGATTGGTTGGTTGCTCGGACTTTACGGGAAAGTGTGCCCAATAACATCCCACGTGCCGGCCCAAAGGATTCATGATACTTACAGGCAGTTTTGGTACCTGTTCTGCAAGGCCCTGGTGTGGATGTATCCTACTTATTCAAAGCAGAGTGAGTCTTTTTCTCGCTAATTAAATCCTGGTCTCCGTTGGAAGCGACGCGCTGCAAAGCTCGTTGTTAGTAAACTTGATCGACTTCATAAGTCGTGAGGGAAGGGATTGCTGTACCCTTCTCGCGATAAAAATATCTCAGGCAGGAACTGCAGGAGGGAGTCCAACCCCCCCCTCCTGTGTGACCCCGGTTGGATCGTCTAGCTGGTACAAGTGGAGGATGGGGGCCATGGGGGCAGTCGGCAGAATCCAATGATGGGAGAAAAAAAAACATGTATATACATATACCGGCATGTACCCCGGTGGTCTAGTGGGTAACCTCGCGGCCTGCTAAGGGCCAGGTGATGGGTTCGAGTCACGGCAGAGTGAGTTTTTTAAAATAAGTAAATACATGTTAGAACCAAGCAAACCACGCGTGTGGCGAACCAAGCATCGCAATGCGGGGGGGGGGTACGGGGAGGGGGCTTGCCCCCCCCCCC